GATCGCTGTTCCTCCAAGATTAGCCTGGATCTGCTCAACGCTCTTCAGGGCCTCTTCCATGGTCTGCTGAGTGTACTCCACACTCTTACTGCCATCACACAGACACCAATACACACGCATGTAACACAAAAGACACAAAAACATGAAAGGAATAATTGTGTTGGGCTGACAGATCTGAGCCTTACGGGAAGATGTGTTCATATCTGGACCCAAAACCATAGATGTTAAAATAGCATCCCATTGGTAAGCTCTTCAACAGGAGCAGTAGAGTATCCTTAAGAGAACAGGGAAAAGATGGTGAGTCCACCGTGTGAGAGGAACACTATAAAAAATTTATGACTGTAAGAACAGATACCGATCTGGAAGTATTACTCATACTTCCAGATCGATCCATTAAGAACACAAACTCTCCACATGAAGCCACTGAAGACATCACAGACTGGGAGAACTCAGGGTACAGACTCACCATCACCACTGGATCACCCATCAGAGAGCCTGAAAAACATTACGGACAGAAAAATAACCAAAAATTGTTTTTGCTGTTTACTCCAACATCTTTAACTACTGAGTTAAAGAAGACGGATAATGATTTTTTTTTTTAAATTTCAAAACAGCAAATCTCATTTCCGCTCAGCAGAGGCCTGTCCTGCCTCCACCACAGCGGTGGGCTGGTGGGCGTCTTTGTAATAAATCAGCAGTTCAACATCTCTGTCAAACTTGTGTCCTGCAGCCAGCTTGACCTGCACACCACACACACATTCATATTTAATTCTCAGTTATAAGTACAGAGCAGACACAGCAGCACTCTACCTACCGTGGCCTGGGTTTGATCAGTGTTGAGGTACTGGAGAGGGTCCAGGGAACAGTTGGACTCTACTTTAGAGATTGGACGAGGAGAGGACACTCGGGCAGAGAAAGGCAGAGTGTAGGGCACCCAAGAGGCTGGAACATAAACCACCTCGAAAGATTTACATTTCTTACCTGTAAACAAATGTGACTGATTAGAAGGATACCTTTTTTTTTTTTTTTTTTTTTTTTTTTTACAGCTGTAACTTCAGCAGAAAGAGAACTGCAGGTATGATGAGGGTCAGTCAAATGTTTCTTTCAATATTCTTAAAGGACAGCACCAGTACAGAATGGCATGTCCATCCTCCAATCACTTTATAAATTCCATATTTCAAACAAAAGATTGGCAGTCATGTGATTCCGAAGAGAGTTAATTCAGGTTAACACTAAGATATATTCTCAGTTATAAGCAGAATATGTATAACAGAATAGAAAAGTGATCCAGGTCGAGAAAATGAAAAATATGCTCATCTGTAACCAAAATTTATGTAGATTCATTATATATATTCCAACTTTATATCATAAACATTTCAGCTAAATCTGTTTTGACAGAATTTTTTCTTTTAGCCAGTACATGTTTATATTTGTCCAAGAGTATAGATTCTGATTTGTTTTGATAGTAAGAAAGACCAGTATACACATATACTGGCTTTTATTTTTAAACATCTTTTAGATATTTATGTTCAGAGATCTTGATGCATTCTCAGTCATCCAGGTAAGTAAATCTCCAAAGGTTGATTCTGTTCATCTGGACGTAGCGTTTTCAGTGGGAGAAACGTTTCGTCACTCATCAAAGTGACTTCTTCAGACTTCAGCTGTTGATCAGTGGTCATGAGAATTTGCATAATCATGATGAAGGAACTGTTGAGCTAGTTAATAGGTATGCCCTCGTTGTCATCTGTTGTGATTTTATTTTGAAAGGATGCTTCCTGTTATGCTGCAGAGTGCACGTGAGAGTTCAATAATAAAAACTAAGTGTTGTTCCGGTGAAAAGCCGATGCCCCACGTGTGATTATTCCTCCGTCTAGACAATATAAGTATCTTCAATATTCATGCAGATTCCGCTGGAAGACCCGTCTCTGCTAACAGGAACTGACCTCCCAGCCCATTGTTCCTTCAGTGGTGCTGGTTTCAGTCATTATGCAAATGTACTGTCAATAAGGTTGGGGAAACGTGCAGTCAGGTGAGACTGAAGAAGTCACTTTGATGAGTGATGAAACGTTTCTCTCGCTGAAAACGCTACAACCAGATGAACAGAATCAACCTTCATGTTCAAACATTGCTGCAGTTTCAATGTATGAAAAAAATACCATTTAAGTAGGTGCACGAGTCATTTTTCAAAATATGTATGTTGAAAAGTATTTTAGTTATAAAACAAAATTTTGACTGCAATAATTATAGCTGCTCAAATTTTGTATCATAAAAATTTTATTCAAATCAGTGACAATCAAGCAGAAAAGATTCTACAAATTGCCCAATTTGAGATGGAATGACTTACAGTAGTTATTTTTCGGTTAACATGTAAATAATTCCATGTAATATCTTACTTATTTCCACATATGTAGTTATGAAACCTTTTACATGTTTGAATTTGAGGGTTTCTGCTAGTGTCAAGTGTTTTTCGTACCCCGATATTTGAGGTTGTTGTTAAGACTGCTTTCATCCTTCATGGATTTTGAGTTGAATCATAACTTTGACTGTGTTAACTATATAAGACACTTTCTTTAATGTTTATTCTGGAAGTTACATTTAATTTAAACAGACTTTCATTTGACTATTCAATAGTAATATTATTCAAACTGAATTAACATGAAAGACTAGATTTTTGTAGTTCTGAGTTTTTATACTTTAATTTTTCATCTTTTTTAAAGAACTACACAAAGACAAACACGAAATGTATGACATTGCAGACTGTATTTCTGCTATTTGTCCCTCTTTTCAAATACTGTTTTTAATTAGATATTATCTCTATCACAAACAATATGTGAAGCAAGATATTATGTGCCATTATAACCAGTAACCAGTTACATTAAAATATTACAAAATCCAAACGTGGTCAGAGAGAAAACAGAAGTCTCTTTGAATCAGTTCCTCGTTCCTTTTGGAGAGTTAGCGGACTGGAGAAGTTCATCTTTGTACCTATGAACCAAGAACATTATTTTAATGCTAATAGGAACATCTTAATAGTTAGTTAAATTTTAATTGCATTATTAATTTGATTACTTATGCACAGTTTTCCAGTCATACAGTTTTTTTTTATAGTGAGGTGTTTTCATTTTGTTTTCTTGTTTCTTTTCCTAAGGGAATGGTTTGAAAATCACTTGTCAGCATTGTCAGCTAACAGTGAATACTCTTGGTATTATAGTAGATATTTAGTTAGGCTTAAGATCTCTGTGTTTGAAAGCAGACAGGCAGCATAAATAGTGCTTTAAACTGGTCCAATTTATGTTGTGAAATTGTTACATGGTGGAGGAATGTGTTTTTCTTATGTGTATGTGTGGTGGGTGATGTGGGCGGAATCGTCACCGCATACCACTGTTTTGATGACAGGTAACAGCTAGCCTGAAGCACCTTCCGGTTTAGTTCTTCCTGTTGTTTGCATCATCGAATTAAAAATAAAGAGCAACACCCCAACCACCCCCCCCCCCCCCAACACACACACACACACACACACACACACACACACACACACACACACAGATGTCTCTCTGTAAATGCGGTTGTCTGTTGCAGCACAACCACATTTCTTTATATCACAATAAAAACATATAAACAAAATTAATAAAGAATTTCAATGTGACAGCATCCAGGTTGCTATCCTTAGTTTTAAGGTTTTCATGTCAGTGTGCAGTAATGTGTTGCTGAGCAGCAAGTGATCAGGCTGCTTAAATAAATGCACGGTAGGAGCTTACCTCTAAAGCCCAACATGTGTGTCAGATGTCAGATGGTTTACTGCCGTCCCCGTTTGTAAATATTAAGGCCAAAGTGTTCACACAGCACAGACTCAACTGATATGTCACCTCTATCTGATATTCTCCACTTACTTGTTGAGATGTGGGTGGAGCTTTTTTCGCAGCCTTAGCTCTGAGAACACAGTCATCAGGACCTGAACCCTGCGTTTAAAAGTCTTGGTACAGAAGACTGTAGGGTGGCTACAGAGGGAAACCTGGGAAAATGTTCTTATAGTCTTTATGTGTTAAACAAGTAACAAAGTATGAATTTCATCACCAGAAAGGGGGAGAGAAAAGTAAGGAACAGTCTTTCTGAAAGAGCTGCTACAGTAGCTGTCTTTACTTTATCAATGTTATGAGAACAATTCTGATTTATCTATTTATTTGTTTACAACGGTAAACACAAATTTCAAATACCAATGTACAATACAAATATATAACAATTCTAATTATATAATTAAAACAAATGATAACGCACACATAATGTTGTCTGGTCGTTCCATACATTTTTATACATCATGTGTTTGTATTCAAATTTTGCTATATTATCATTATTATTATTATAACAATATCTCAAATTATCAGTTTTTGATTTTATTTATTAAGATGAACAAGTCACCTTTCCAGGCACTGATTTCTCCACCTCACTGCTGGTCTTACCCAGTGCAATAGCCAGAGGCGCATCAAGCAATCAGCAGCCAGACGCCTGCTGGAGGGAGATTAATGTCAGCAAAGGGCCTGTGGGTGGCTTCTTAGCTACAACAGGTAGAAATTTTTTTTATTAAATTATTAAATATTTGGTGTATTTAAATATTTATAATATTTAATACCTACCAGATAAACCAGTGCATAAAAACCACTGCACAAAAAAATAACTGACACACACGCACAGCCTTCCCCTTTATTTTTTTCTACCTTCAGTGGCCCTATGCTACTATAGTAGCATATATCCAAAAGTTTAATGTTATTAAAAAAAAAAGCAAAAATGCATTCAGATCACAATTCTGATTGCAAAGCTGCCAGACAGGATTTAAAAAATAAATAATGAAATAGAATAAAAGTCACAAATCAAGGTTTTACTTGCTGATTATTGATTTTTATTATTGTAAAAACAGAACTGCCATAATCCACCTGCATACAGTTTCTCTTGTTTAACTTCTCGATGTATTCATAGAATTACAGTACTTGTCAGTACGTGGAGATTTTGCACCGATAACTAATAACTGACTAAGTAAATAAAAAAATGCCGCAACTTGGACAGTAGTGGGAGATGTGTTTGTTGTTTGTTTTGGAGTGTCCCTTTCTCTGCACGACATTTTTGAACCAAAGTATTAAAATGAATCACAAAGGTGATATACTAAAATTAGTGGCAGACAACAACCATTCATCAGGTAAGCAGGCATGACTGTAATATCATTTGTATGTGACACGAACGCCACAAGAAAGGTAGTGTTATACCTGTTGCTCAGTCTGTGGCTTTTTGGCAGAGTCAGTGATCACAGTGTTGTCTTTAGTGTAGCCATTGCCCTTGTTGTTAGGTTTCAAAAATGACAGTTTAGTTGGTTAGTCATTAAATAGACGCTCTCATGATTCATCGAGTGACACCTCTGACTAATCAATTTGTGGCACGCAGTCTGTTGATGTCACATTTTCTACTTGCATGGATCGCTTGGAACCCCGGCTGAGGAGGTACTAAAAAACTATCCACTACCAGATACTATCACTTAATGGAAAAGGCTAAAAACAGAGTTGAGCCGTGCTGACCCAAATCAAGTAGGTACTATTGGAAAAGGGTTCATAAGAAATCCCTCAGAGTCCCAGAGCTTCTTTCATCACGCTGCAACCCAACAGTAAATTTGCAGCTTCCACACACTCTGTCACCCATGGTGCTGAAAACACAAAACAAAGAAAGACAGCTGAGTGTGGCATCAACCAGTGTTAAAAAGCACTTTAGCACTTTCATAAGGGTTACTACCATTCTGAGCACGGAGCCATGAGGCAGCCTTCATAGCCAGAAGATCCCACTCATTCTTTGAATCCATCTTTAAACCATGAAGCCAGATCAGAGCCAGAATGGTAGCCCAAATTTCCTTGTTGGCCTAATTCACCAAATCAAACAAAATCAAATGATATAGACAGAACACAATCCTTCACATGGAAAATGCTACCCAATGATTATGATCTTGTTTCCTACCACTTTGAAAACATAAATAATCTGAAAGAAGGCACTGAAATACTTTGACTGATAATAAATATTTTTTGCTCCATTTGCTCCCTTCAATGTAATTTGTTTATGTTATAGTTGTATCCATCTTTATGTTATGCTCATCTGAAGTAGGTCATAGTGGCAGCAGACTAATCCATATATTTTCCAGTTCCTTCTGGGAGATCCAAGTGCATTCCAGGACCAGACAAGGAATATAATTTCTCCAGCAGATTCCCGGGGTCTCTTCCCTTTTGGTCATGCTCTAAATATTCACAAAGGAAGGCGCCCAGGAAGCATCCTTACAGATGGCTAAATTACCTCGACCTACTCTGTCTGAGATGGAGGAACAGCAGTTCTAGTTCAAGATTTGTCTACATGTCAGAGCTTCTCACCCCATCTATAAGACTGAGCCCTACGGAGCAAACTTAATTCAGCCGCGTGTGCAGTCATGACCTTATTCTATGGTCATTACACATATTTCATGATCATAGGTGAGGGCTGGGATGTAAATGGACTGGATAATTGAAGGATTCACGTTTTGGCTCACATTTCTCTTAACCACAAGAATCCAGGAAATATCCCACCACTTTCCAACAAAGAATCATGACTTCAGACTTGGAGGTGCTGACTCTCATACCAACCATTTCAAACTGTGACAAATTGCTCCAGTGGATACTGTCACAAGCTGGCCCATGGCAAATGACAGAGGGAAGACAAGACAGATTGTGTTGCTAATCATTACTTTATTCAAAAAAAGGAAATAACAAGCATGGGATATGAGAAGTGAAAAGTATCAGTGGTTGAATGGAATAGATGTGTGCTAATGTAACACAGAAGGTCACGCTCCAATGAAGCATACAGAACCACATATATCACTTAATTGCGACAGATTATGTTGGTTGAGATATATATATATATATACATATATATATATATCATCATATATATATATATATATATATATATATATATATATATACACACATATATATATATATATATATATATATATATATATATATATATATATATATATATATATATATATATATAAAAACACCCAGCGCGCCCCTGCGGGCGGTTTATCCTTCAAGCTCGGGTCCTCTACCAGAGGCCTGGGAGCTTGAGGGTCCTGCGCAGTATCTTAGCTGTTCCCAGGACTGCGCTCTTCTGGACAGAGATCTCCGATGTTGTTCCCGGGATCTTCTGGAGCCACTCGCCTAGCTTGGGAGTCACCGCACCTAGTGCTCCGATTACCACGGGGACCACCGTTACCTTCACCCTCCACATCCTCTCGAGCTCTTCTCTGAGCCCTTGGTATTTCTCCAGCTTCTCGTGTTCCTTCTTCCTGATGTTGCTGTCATTCGGAACCGCTACATCGATCACTACGGCCGTCTTCTTCTGTTTGTCTACCACCACTATGTCCGGTTGGTTAGCCACCACCATTTTGTCCGTCTGTATCTGGAAGTCCCACAGGATCTTAGCTCGGTCATTCTCCACCACCCTTGGGGGCATCTCCCATTTTGACCTCGGGACTTCCAGGTTATACTCGGCACAGATGTTCCTGTACACTATGCCGGCCACTTGGTTATGGCGTTCCATGTACGCCAACGCCATATATATATATATATATATATATATATATATACATATATATATATATATACACACATATATATATATATATACATATTATTTGCAAAAAAACAGATGTTATTCTGAGATTCCCAAAGCAGATGTCCTTCTTGAAATTTTAGAATAGGATCGAAAACAACAGGCAACCTTCCTGCTCCTCCTCCTGTTCAATGATTGGACGGAACATCTTTTCAAAATACCCTGAATTAAGTTTTCCCTGGGAGGCTAAGCAGCATAATACCCCAATAATTTCTTATAATAATAATAAAATGAGAACCACCACCCTGGACTGCCACTCCACAGGCACTGTCCCAACATTAAAAGCGCATATAGGTAACCCTTCCTCCTGCTTCTCAACAATCCTGGTGACCGTCTGCAAGTGTAACCGGTGAGACTTACCCCAAGTGTTCAGGCTCTCCTTCCTTCATATGGAACGTTTTGCTTGGGTTTTAGAGTTCCTCAACATGCCTTTTCCTCCACGGGACAGCAGTTCTCCTCCCCAACTAAACATGGCTTGGGCCAAACCCAGCTTTTCCCTCCTGAGTACTGAGATAGCTTGACAGACCTTCTTTGATGCCTGCCAAAAGTCCTCCTCCATAGCTTCTCTGAACTCATCCCACACCCAGGTTTTTGCTTGAAGTTCTGTTCAACTGTTGAAGCCACCCCATTTGGCCCCACAATACCTGCTTCGGGAGTATCCCTGGGCCAACCCAGTCTAGAAAGCCTACTCCTTAACCTTTACAGCCTCTCTCATTACTCTTGCATCCCGTGGGAGGTCCAAAACCTCCCTCTTTACCCATTTAGGTTTTCTAGGACTGTCTAGCAGTCCTCCCTGCCATCTAGTCCGACTCACCATTAGGCAGTCAGTTGACAGCATTGCTCTCCACCAAAGTGTGCAAGACATACTGCCTCTGATCAGATACAAAAACAAAACCAACCACTGACCTTTTGCTCTGGCACAAAGCACACTTACAATCAACCTTACACTAAAACATATTGTTTGGTTGGCCAACCTGTACCTAGTACAGAAGTCCAATAACAAAACATCATTCTCATTTAGAGCAAACAGGCCATTCCCCCCAATCACTCCTTTCACAATGTCTCCAGGTACAGTCCCTTCCATGATGGCACCCAAAAACTTTGTGTTATATATGAACATTTTTAATTAGGTTTCATACTATGAAATCTTATATTATCACTTTATATAATGATTTAAATTTACAGCAACCCACCAATACTGGCTTTGACTTCTCCACCTCCTCGTTCGTCTTTCCCAGTGCAGTAGGCAGAGCTGGATCAAGCAACCACTTGCCAGTTGCCTCCTGGAGGGAGACTAACTGCAGCAAAGGATCTCTGGTTTGCTGCTCAGACACAGAAGCTGAAAAACCAAAGATGAAACAAAAGCTGGACCTGATTATAATTATTCTACATGTGAAGACATAAAAAGTCTACAATATAAAGCAATCCATAAACCACCATAAACTTTGAAACATTTGTAATATATTTAAATGCCTCATTCAAGTTTTTGTTGACTATATTTTCATATTATTATTTTCTTTTTCCTGATCCACTAGCACACACTACACATACATGTGATGAGCCAACTACAACTGTCTGACATTCTGTAAATGATGGAAGCTGATAGTTTATTGGATTTATCTACTTACATCTAACATTACCTTCAGACACAGATTTTAGAGCACCATCAGCCACCGTCTTACAAGATTTCCAAAAGTCACTTAGTATCTTCTTCATCTGAGTAAATACCCCTGTCTTGCTGTCAGACTTATTTCTAGGTTTGTAGCTACAAGCTGGTGAGAGAACAGATAAACAAAACCCTGATATAGATCAATTTACTGTTATTAAATGCATAATACATCGGATTTTGGTGTTTTGATACAAGCTTCCTTTAAAATGATGAACATTTGATTAAGTTCATTCCTCCACAATAAACAGAAATCCACATCCATGACCATGGGCAACAATGCCTGTCTAAAACAAGGCAAATAAAAGCCCTCCAATTCCACGTAATGTGGGGGTCTTAACTAAGTAAACTGTCACCCAGTGTAATGGTTTGTAACTTGTAATGTAGGACAATTTCTTTGGAAAGGTTATTTTTTTCATTGTTCTGTTTTTCTTTTCTTTTTTAAAAGATGTGTCACAACACTAAAAACACTTTTTCACTTCAAGGTTTTAAAATAAATAGTAAATGTTTCTGACATGAGAATTAAGAAATGAAACTACTAAAAACTGGACTTTTATGGTAATAAAATGATTCACCTTAAGTACTACTTAACATGGGCAAATTGTTAATGACTACAAAGGAAAAGGCAAATGTCAACTGTTCCACAAAAAGGCGGTAGTTATTTCAGTGTTTACAGCCATGTATTCATAAAAAAATAAAAAAAACCACTTTCTATAGCATTTAGCTTTTAAATTTAACTTTAGCACAGGGCATGTCTTCTGATTGAGATAAGTAAGTTAAACATAATTTTAGAATAACTGAAACGTTTGTGTCTTCAAGACTTCAACTTAATAACTATAATGCTATACTATAATAATATAAGATTGTTGAAATACCTGAAAATATTTAAATGTGTGGCTTTTTACACTGTTTAATGACTAATTTCAAAGGCACAAGTTCTTTAGCAGGATTTAAAATATCACAAAAAAGAATTAACTTTTCATGTTAAAGTTGCAAAAAAGTTAAACAGTAACTGTGCTACAGAAATGTTTTGTTCAGTGTTTACAGGCAGTCACTCTAATTACAGAACATAAACACACATCTGTGTTTCTGTTTTATTTAGAATTTTTGCTCACGTTCATAATCCTGATCAAGAGGCAGTGCGCAATCCATGTAATCTGTGGAAAACAAAGAAGGTAAAGAGATTAAGCTAAGCTTCATGCCATGAATCGCAACAATCCATTTAAAACTTAAAAACTTAAAATAAATAAGCTTGTTAAATGTTCAAAATTGTAAAAAAAAAAGAAAGAAAAAAAAGTGAACATTTTAACACACTGTGATTCCTTACAACAGTGCAACTTTTTTCCACAGGATTTAATGTGTCGCAAAGATTTATAGGGGCAACATTTTATATGTAAATTGCAAATGAATAGCATAGTATTTGTATCACAAAGAAATGTTGGTTTGTTCAGTGTTTACCAGCATTTAGAGAAGAAAAACAAACCAAAACAAACCAACAAAAAGGTTAGCTTTTTGCCTACCACCAGATTCCTGATCAGCATCCATGTAACCTATGGCAAGAAAGGAAGGTTCTTTGAGATATATAAAAGAGGGTAGGGGAAGACATAACTAAAAATCTCATAATGAATCATAAAAATCAGTTTAAAAGGTATTTATAATAAAAATTTTAAATGTGGGGCTTTTACACACAGTGATTCATAACTCATTCCAAGTGTGTATGTTCTTCAGTAATATTTAAAATATCACAAAAATGTAGAGGAACAGCGTTTTGTTTGTTTTGTTTGTTTTTAAGTCCCAAACAAGTTAAATAGCATTTATTTTTTCATGTGTTTCCAGGCAGTTATGTTGTTCTTTTATAGAAAATCATGTGTTGTTCTTTCTCATTCAGCTTTTTGTTTTTTTATTCTTAAATAATAGATCAGGTCAATCAAGGCAAGAAAAAAAAAAAGAAACTCCAATGACTACAGTCTCATTCAGCAGGATATGGATCCCTGAGTCCAGAGTCCATCATGACCACTTTGCAAATCCACCACCTTCATAGTTTATATTGTTACAAAAACAAACAAACATAAAAACAAAAAATCACTATCAGCCAATGGCCACTCCAGCTGTGCAGTCAGCTGGTGGGTAACGGGCATCTCCAAAAACGTTAGAACACTTTTGCAAATATGTGGTGTCGTTATCAATCGAGCGAGAGGGGCTGTTATTGTGTGTGTATATGGATAATAGCAAAGAAGAAGAATTTTGTTCGCTCAAATTTAGTTTTTCTTCGCTCAAAATAAATTTCTCCTCAAAATGCAATACTTGTACTTGCAAATTTTTTTTAACATGTGCTCAGAACAATGGCACAAAAATAATTACATAGACCTGTCGTTGGCCTCCAAACCCTCTGTGACAAATTTTTGTGCGTGTCTTCAGAGAACCGTCAAGTTTTGTAAACAGTGTTGTAAATACTCTTTTCCACTAAATAAGCACTAAAGCAGAAGGGATGAACTGCCTAATTGTTTTCTTTACCTTTTCTCTTGTTCATTAAATTAGGGAGTTAGGGTAGTGGTTGTCTTTTATTTGGCTTTTGTTTCATGCAGGGTTTAGGTAGCAGCTTCTTTTGGAATAGCTTGTTTTGTTTATTATTTTAGCCTTTGTTCACCCCAGAGTTAGCACTGTTAGTTTTGGTAGCAATAAAACTCCACCTTGAGGGTTAACCCTTATGTTGTGCTTCTGTTCCCCGAGACTGGGATGTAAGACCAGATACCCCAGTATACCATCCGGGAACTGGACTGTCAGGACTGTTTTATAGGAAATGGGGGACCAACACAATATTAGGTAGGGAGTAATAATGTTATGAGTTATCTATCAATCTATCTATGACTCCCTTGTAGAAGTAGTCCAAGAACACTTTAGCATGAAACGACTGTAATCTGCAGTAACTAAAGAAGGTTTTTCCAGGCACAAAACGAAGGGAGAAGTGACAACATTACAACTAAATTTTGTACCACCAATGGCAATGATCAGTTTAGCCTGTTCTTATAATAAAAAGGTTATTAAAATATCAAAATAGTGTGATTATTTTTTTATTTTTATATGATTCATATGCCATTACAAGACTGCAGGTTCTTCAGTAATATTACCGTAATTTAGAGGAACAGCTTTTCACAATAAAGCTGCAAACCAGTTAAATACCGACTGTCCCACAGGAATATTGGTTCGGTCAGTGTTTACAGGCAGTTATTCCATTTATAGAAATCTATTTATGAATGTTGTGCTATAATTAGCCGTTTACTTACCTTCACAATTCTGATAAGGATTCAGGGTGCAACCAACGTAATCTGTTGCAATTAAGAAAGGCATTTTCAGATCCAAAAGCGAGAAGTTAAAGACATTACGCTAAACCTCATACTATGAATCACAGCAATCAGTTTAAAATGTATTTACAATAATAAGCTTGTTAAAATGTTCAAAATGTCAAAAACGTTTTTCTTTTCACACACTGTGATTTATAACTCATTACAACAGTGCAACTTTCAGTAAGATTTAAAGTATCACAAAAATGTATAGTAACAATTCTTTTCATTAATGTTGCAAATGGGTTCAGCAGTAACTGTGCCACAGAAATGTTGGTTTGTTCAGTGTTCACCAGCATTTAGAGAAATAAAAAACAAACAAAACTTAGCTTGCCATAAGATTCCTGATCAGCATACATGTAACCCATGGTAAGAAGGGAAGGCTCTTGGAGATCTAAAAGAGAGGGGAGGTAAAGAAATTATAAAGAAATCTAAAACTAAAATCATGACAACAGTTTAAAATGTATTCATAAAAATGTTCAAAGTGTTATAAATCACTGTTTTTTTTTATGCACAATGATTCATAACCAAAGGTACAAGTTTTTCAGTAATATTTAAAATATCAAAAGTTTAGAGAAACAATATCTGTTGTATTTAGCTACTTGCTTACCTTCATAATCCTGGTAAGGACTCAGAGTGCAATCAACGTAATCTGTAGCAAGAAAAGAAGGCATTTTTAGATCCTAAAGATGGACGGTAAACACATTAAGTTAAACATCATACCATCAATCATAACAGTCGGTTGTAAAATGTACGAATAAAATGAAGCTGATTAAAATGTCAACAAAGTGGGGCTTTTTGCAAACTGTGATTTAATAAGTGCCATTTAACAATATTTAAAATATCACAAAAAGTTATAGAAACAGTGTATAAAAACATGTTTCATATTTCAGTTCCAATCATGTTAACTTTGCAACAGAATTATTGGTTTATTCAGTGTTTACAGGCTAGTTAATGGTTAATGTTTTCATAGATCAGGTCCATTGAATCTTTTTTAATGGTTAGATGGATGTTTGGATATCATGACTTCCACCTCTTCTTAAAGTCAGTAAAGAGTTCTTTTTACTGATGGCATGAAGTTGACTTTTATGCGAGTTGTACAATCTTGGGTTGATATTGTTACAGCATCACCTTGATCACAAACTACGCTACCATCAAACTAAAAAAAACCATAACATTCAATGAGATAGTAAAACAGGTACAATAGAGACATAAAATGATCTATATGACATAAAACATACCTCGCGGGCTGACCCATGTTTAGAGGCTGAAATGAGCAATGTACAGATACTTTTAAGAAACCTTTAACATTCCCGGCTTCAACTTGCCATGCTCATGCTTCAAAATGGGTGTGCATCTCATAGATCCTACATGAGAATTTCTAAAATAAATGTCCTATTGACAGAAAATATGCGTAATGCAAAATAAAATACATTAACTAAAATTATGGCAGTAAAACATTTAGCATCAAACAACTGATGTTTTTCAACATTTTATAATTTGAGTAATTAGAAGGTCCTGGATCACAGAGATTGTGAGGATTGTTGCTCTATTGCCTGTTTATATTGTGACAAATTCTTTTTCCATAGCACGGACAGTATTGTGTTAATTTATATTTCTGACCCCCCAAAAAATGTGTGAGTAGATATCTGTTAAGATCTCAGATGTCAATCCTGGGATCTCCTGGAGCAAGTCAACCAGTTTGGAAGTCACTTCCAAATGCTCCAGTTACCACTGGGACCACTGTTGTCTTCAACCTCCAAATCTTCTAAAGCTCCTCTCTCAGCCATTTGTATTTCTCGACTTTCTTGAGTTTCCTTCTGCCTGATTTTGCTATTGATTGGTATAGTTACATCTATCACTATGGCTGGTTTTCCTCTTCTTTTCTAGCACTACTAGGTCTGATTGGTTAGCCATCACCAAGTGAGTTTGTCCATCTGTATCTGGTCCCACAGGATCTTAGTCTTGTCTCTCTCAACCACCCATTTTGAACTCAACTTCCAGGCCATACTCGGCGCAGATATTCCTCTATACTATGCCGGCAACTTGGTTATGGTCTTCCTTGTAAGCCCCGCCTGCTAGCATCTTAAACCCTGCAATTACGTGCTGGAAGGTCTCAGGGAAAACTTTGCATAACCTACACCTGGGGTCTTGCCTGGTGTGGTAGACTCCAGCCATTATGAATCTTGTGTTGCCATGATTAGTCTTTCAGTTCAGTTTTGTCCAGCCACTGTTCGGATTTCTCGATATCAGTCACTTCTTCTATCTGTCAGTGCTACTTGCCCTGCATGGACCTATACTTCCATGATGGTTCCTCTTTTTCCTCCTTTTCTTTCTCAGGTTTCTGCTGCCTGGAGTATTCCCTATGTACGTGATCAGTTGTGGTCATCTTCCTGATATACTCATGGCTCTTTTTTCTTTTTTTCATCCTGGATAGTGGTTCTGACACTCACCAGTCCTTGGCCCGCTTCCTTTCGCTTAGCGAAAAGTTTCAGGATGCTGGACTTGGGCTGAAACCCCATGCATGATAAGGAGCTTTCTTGCAGGTGTTGATTCCCAGATCTTGTTCTTCTCATTTAGCATACTCCTCAGGACTTGCCTTACCCTCGGTGTCTTCTAGAGGCCTCTTGATGGTTCCCATTTGCCTGTGAGATTCCAAAGTAGTTTCTGGCAGTTCAATCGTGTCCGTTCTGACTACCCTCTCTGTCTTTGTTACCATCCGACTACACGTCACCAGTCGGAATGACATTTGGATGTCATTGCTGTTTTATATGTTTTTCATTCATCTATTTAGCCCCTTGTTCAGTCTGCCCTCTCTGCAAACCCATTCAGCTGCCTCCTGAATGGGCCCCACAGTATATAGACCTCTAGCTGGCCATCCTTTATTTGGTACACTGTCAGTGTTGACCAATGGGTTTTTCCCCCCTTAATATTTTGGTTTTTAGTTTAATGAGCTTGTTTTCAAGTCATCTTATAAAACTATTTTTAATCACTGCACTCCCTTTATTCGTGCACCGTAATTTTGATCTTCAGAGTTGTGGGTGAAAGTTTTAGTTCTTGCTTTTAAAAACTCACCGTGTTTTAAAATATTTTTGTGCAGAAGAGGTCCTTGAATCGCCTCGCCATTGTTATTGAAGACAGCAATGAAGGCAGTCAGTGAACTGCTTATTCCCGATTGGACACTGAGCTGCACCACCTTCTCCTTCACTTTTGTGTCTTGCCATCCTCTGTGTTCTCCCTCCTCCAGGGAACGAATCAGAGTCCGAGCACCCAACTTGTGGACTGTTAATCTGTAAAGAAGTACGGACATATTTTTACTACAGCTGTTTACCAGTGACTTCTCTGTTTTTATTATATTGTATGCTTTCTAAGGTCAAACATAGATGGAGATAAACCCACTGCTTTATATAAGAATCACAGTGATAACATGAATGGTGACAAATGCTCACACCAAGAGAAAATCTCCTAGTTTAAATCTCAGTCCACAGAACAGAAGCTCATGGTGGCATTTCAAGTGAAAACAGATAAAACGATAGAATTATTTTCCACTCGTTGCACTGTGCAGTATATGGACAGGAGGCCTCTATTATGACCTAAATTCAACATGCGAGCCTTTTATCAAACTGAAGGTGAAACTGATGAAATGTGGAACATAAAGTTCAAAAGGAAACGGAAAGCTATAAACTACCGAAACCTAAACTGGGAACTAATACTTACAGTAAGAAGCACTGGAGCTAAGAGACAGGAAGGGAAAGTGAGCTGATGTTCTGACAAAGGACAAAAATAGACTGAGGCAATAGATACATTCCAAAAGTTAATTTTGCTTTGGAGGGTTCTTAACTGAGAGACATGACTGAAATATCGGCAAAGCAACCATAATAAGAGCTGCTCAATTCTGTAAGTACTAAGGAATGGCGCTTCAATGCTTCTTTTATTGCTTCCTTGAGCAGAGGATACACTGGACCATCCTTTACAGAAAGGGAGGAGAAAATGCTCTCCCATAATTCACTGTGAGGACCATCCGACCATTCATGAAAATAAACATAATAAACACAGCTGCGCACCAACATTTGCTAATGGCACAGCAATAAGTGGAACAATAAGTGGGGTTCACCTCTAAACAGTCAGCGTGAGGACAGAGGGAGGAGTTTTAGGACAGAGACAAAGTTTTGGCACTGCAATAAGAGCTTTAAGCATCTATGCAAAGTCCCGATTACACACTAGTTCTGATAACATCTTCCCTCCTGAAAATAGACTCCAGTATCCGGTATCCAGTAAGGGTCCTGGCTAGACCCCCATGTTAAAACAAAGCCCGGGGATGGAGCGGCTACGTCTGCAGCCTGTCCGCAGCTCAAACACAAGTATTTCACTACATGTTGTACTGTGTATGGAACAAATAAAATTTGAATTTATAAGTTATTTATGACTTCATTGACGTGATCGTCAAGGTCAAGTAAAAGAGGTTAGAAATAGAACATGGGAGGGATTAACTGGATAGTGTCATATGTTTCACACTTAGCAACTTTAAGTCTAAAGTCATGATCCACAGAACAGTGCTGTTTATATCAAAACTCTGTTTTACCCAGTGTCCTCTGCAGGTCTGAGACTGAAGTGCAGCTGGTTCTCAGAGGGATGACCTGCCAGGCTGTACTTCACCGTCACACAGCCCTCTGCTGCCTCTGAGCTCTGACACAAAACCACAGGGTCAGAAGTCACGTTAATTACTGTCATCAAATATCTAAACAACAACATGAGAGGCTGCTGCTCCTACCTGTCCACTGAGCTGGGCATAAATCAGTGACCTTTGACCTGGAAAAAGTGCAGTGATTGGTGGAGAGAGGACAGTGACAGACACTTCCTTTGGTAAATCCCATATGACTGAGATGTTGACCACAGCCGGCTGCAGAGCAAATCGCAGCGACTGCATCACCTGAAAAATAAAGAAAAACTCTCCAAATATACACAAACAGCTGGAACAGACATTTTACTCACTGCAGGTCTGATCTCAAATATGGATCTGCTGGTGCTGGTGCTGCTGCTGCTGCGATGTTTAGCTTGACTTCTAATTGTGTTAAATATCTTACTTTTGCTTGCATCCTGTCAGTGTCTGTGATGAACTGAGCGTGACCTCCTCCTTCTTTGGCCATCCCATTGATGAGAGCAGAGCTGGCCCCTTCCCCAATCCCAAAAGAGAAACACCTGCAATACAGCAGTTTTCTTTAAGTACATAGAGGACATGTTGGACATTCTGTAATTGTGTAGACGTACTTGTGTTTTTGTGGTTTCACCTGTGAGAATCTGAGTTCCTCTTCACCAGATCTATCACTTCTTTGGTGTCCCACACCTCTCCATCAGTAAAGACAAACAGCTAGAGAGGAGAGTTGGCACATAAGGACAGAACATCAGACCCAGAAACACACAGCTTGTTCTGAGAGCTGAGTTAGGTTCAGAAACACAAATGTTTTAATGGTAATGTGCAAAGAACAATGTACGGTTAATATGAACTCAAAATATGGTACTTAAGAAGATGGAAGAAGGGTAGTATGATAATGTCACAGAGGTAAGAGACATATGTACAACATGTTTATATTATTCAGCTATTATTCAGTTTTTTCAAGTCAGTGAAATGTCTTCTGAAGTCAAACATACTGTGTGTGTGTGTGTTAGATAGTTGAGTTTGGACTCTTTTGGGGGGCGCTCAAGGAAATTTCCATCAGAGCACTCTGGCAGGGCGTGGCTGGCGGTGCCACAGCAGCGAAGGTGGACACATCTGCGTGGCATCGCAATCACGCCTGCCCAGCTTAAGCGCGGTGTGAAGTCCTGTTGTATTGTTGTTGTGTACGTGTGGCTGGCAGCTGGGAAGCTGAGCCGAGTTGTACAAAAAGCAACCGTTTAATAAAGTAAGATGTTTCAGAATGCAGAATCGTGGTCGCATCATGCCTCATTCTTGCCACAGTGGTGCAGAAACCAGGAAGCGTAAGCAGAAAGAACTCCGGTACTGGATTGACTGCAGCACACAAAGGATTGCGAATCTGGCAGCTCTAATCCAGTTCTGACCGACACCACCAACACCCCCACCAGGTTCCCCAGCGGCAGGCATGCAGCAGGGTGCGAACAACCAAGATGCAGCCTGCTGCCGCACCCATCCCCACTCCTCGGGCGGGAGCGGCTAGTCCCCGGCGCAGTGTCTGCGCTCATATCGGCCCCGCGGAGGAGTGCCACAGAGCAACTACTGTGTCCTCAAACTTCTCAGCCGAGAGCAGTGGAGGAGCCACGTGGGGAAGCTGCTCCAGCCAGAGGTGGAAGAGGTGCACAAGGGTCCATTTTACAGGATTCATACCAATCTAAACATGGTGAACAGGATGGCTGTCATTACATTCATGTGAGGGAATACAAATCTATTATCCACTCGTGAAATTGGGGTATATAATGCTGAGTCTGCATCATAAAGGGAGGGTTTGTATGAATTAATATAAAACAACGCTATTACCAGTTTGCTTCAACGGGTGGATTAGATAGAAATCTCTGATTATTCACTCTGAATAGATCATCGTACCAGTTAGGCTGCTTTAGAAGGTAACAGTTGATGACATTTGCAAAAGCATATTTCATTAATATTAATCACAAGAAACTGTATGGATGAAATTATGTTTGGGAGCTGAGCTCCCTCTGAAAGTTTGAACCTAACCTGGTGTGTTACCTGTCGAGGCTGATTGGGAATGCAGGGCTGGCTGTAAATATGTTTGAGGGGCTGCAGCATCTCTGTTCCTCCGAGATTAGCTTCCATCTGCACAACTGTCTTTAGAGCCTCCTCCATGGTCTGCTGGCTGTACTCCACACTCTTACTGCCATCACACAGACACCAATACAAACATGCACGTATTTCATGTCAAGGACAAAAGGACCTTTGTTGGGCTGGGAGAGACTCACGGGAAGATGTGTTCATATCTGGACCCAAAACTGTAAATATTGAAATAGCAGCCCATTGGTAAGCTCTTCAACAGGAGCAGCAGAGTATCCTTAAGAGAACATTGAAAATATAGTGAGGCCACTGTGTGAGAGGAACAATTTGAAACTAAAGAGTTTATGAGTAAGTATATTATGGATACCCTGGCACTGCTGATGCGAGAATTACTCATACTTCCAGATCGATCCATTAACAACACAAACTCTCCACATGAAGCCACTGAAGACGTCACAGACTGGGGAAACTCAGGGTACAGACTCACCATCACCACTGAATCAGCCATCAGAGAGCCTGAAAAATAACAGACAGAAAAAAGTTTATATAAATTTGCTTTTCAGTGGTTTTTTCATACATATTCAAACTTTTGAGTGAAAGAATGGGGATATTAAAAATCTGTCTTTGAAAACCAACTACTCCTATCATTTCCACTCACCCGGCTCAGCAGAGGCCTGTCCTGCCTCCACCACAGCGGTGGGCTGGTGGACGTCTTTGTAATAAATCAGCAGTTCAACATCTCTGTCAAACTTGTGTCCTGCAGCCAGCTTGACCTGCACACCACAAACACATTCATATTTAGTTCTCAGTTATAAGTACAGAGCAGACACAGCAGCACTCTACCTACCGTGGCCTGGGTTTGATCAGTGTTGAGGTCCTGGAGAGGGTCCAGGGAACAGTTGGACTCTACTTTAGAGATTGGACGAGGAGAGGACACTCGGGCAGAGAAAGACAGACTGTAGGGCACCAGAGAGGCTGGAACAGAAGTCACCTGAACACCTTCACTACCTGTACACAACATCAGGTTAGAAATGCTGTGAACAATAAGGCATTAAATATTAAAGCTTCTAAAAACATCTGGTCCAATTAAAGGTTTCAGGGAAATTAGGTACAAGGCTGGCACAAGTCTTTTACATTTTTTCTAATCTGATAAATATGTTTGACAGTCACAGTGTTATGTGGTATCTTTTCTTCGAGAAAATAAAGTTGAACTTTGATGCTTTTTCTGCCATATATTGTGTTCTGTCACTGTTGTGAGGTTGGTTCAAGACCTAATATGGTTTAACCATTTCTGGTCCAAGTATTTTGAAGTGTTCCTACCCTGAGGCTGGTATCGAGGGTTGAGCACAGCAGGCAGACAGAACCTCAGACCATCATCAGCCTGCACAGACAGCTCAGTCACGTACTCTAACCTGATGGAGGCACTCTCTCCTGGAGGCAGACTGCCCACACTCAGAGAGAATATATCTGGACTCTGATCGCTCTCCTCCAATAGGAAGGCCTGCTGACCAGAGCTCAGAGCATCATCATACTCCTCACGAGCCTGAAGGACAGGTGACACATGTCAGTGACATTCACTGTGTTTATTGTTATTTTGAATCTTACTTATAATCAGGTTATATTTACTGTCCAGCTCACCTTCTGTTTCTCCTTCACCTCAGCTACAATCTGTGTCTGTCCGATCTTAGCACTGAAATGACAGACAGCAGCGTCTCCAGGCAGAGGGAAGACAACAACAGCCTCTAATGGTTTGTTCTCCTTATTCTCGTAGTTCAGGGTGGAGACCACTGCAGCCACATGGTCCCTCACCTCCAGCTCCACCTCAATGCTCTTCAGAGGAACTAAAAGAAAAACATAAACATCCAAACAACTGTTTTTGATTAACTTCAAAATTTGTTTAGTCTCCTGCCCATTTTGGATTTTCATCAACTTTTTACCTGGTTCCTTTTGGGCAGTTAGCAGACCACAGGCTCTCACCATTGTTCCTGTGCAAGAGACAACCACCACAGAGATTTACTCCAAATAAAAGAATTTAGTGTTGCTTTCATTTTGGCTCCAGAAGCCAAATAACTAACAGATGACAATGATAGTTAGGAGGATCTGACTGAGAAACAGTTAAGATCTAAATCTAGAACTAGGGAATAGTTACGTAATATAAGGATTTAAAAGCTTTGCAAAGTTTTAAAGAAAACAATTAAGCATCCAAGAGCCTTTTCTCTATAAATTTTTTCAACATCTGGCAGCTGAACTTTAAATAAACTGGAAGTAGGGGATGAACTTTTGGCTGTAACTTTAGCAGACAGAATTGGAGTAGATAAAATGAAGGCATGTTCATGTCTTTCACTTGTAATTTAAACCTTTTTTTTTTTTTACTTTTCCCACAATTCTTATTAAAAATAAGGATGATTGTATGACCTTAATTTGTAGCTTAAATCCAAATAAAGTCCAAAGCTAGAAATGACACCCTGTTTAGGAGCAGACCTAATGTTTCACGATCATACACATCAGGTCATGCATTAAGTTTGGGGCGCTGCTATGTGCGGCATGAGAGCATCGGTCCGGTCATCGTCTTGTTGTGTTTATATTGTCACCTTCATTAACCTGCTCTCTCACATCTGTGATTTATTCTTAGTGCTGAATGTGGGCGCTCATGAAGACAGCACAACATGGGGGTCGCCAACTGGTGTTTCGGTCCTCTCCATCTACCTAAAATCCATCAGCATCGGTTTCATCTTTCTGTTCCTTTAATAGTTTTATTTATCAAGTATAGGTTGAGTTGAGAGTTACCGTTACTCCTGGTTTTGGTTTCTGTTAGTCTAGTTTTACAGAACAGAAGCCTGGATCCAATGGCACATTGTGTGGTTGATTCATGGTCTTCTTCCTCTTTGTTTGTTTTAGTCAGGGCTTCCATCTCTTTTTTCCCCAGTTTGTCATCTTTGAGTAACTATATTCCCAGTAATGTGTGTGTTTATGGCAGCAGCTTTGTGTCATCTTATATGCTGGACAAATGGAAGTTCTGGGACACCGGAGAGGATTTACTTCTGTTACAGCGTATCATCAGAAGTGCTAAAAATCAAGATGGATAATTTACAATAATGTAGATGTCTAATCTAGCTTATTTTTTTTACTTAATTATTTATATCATCTCTGACTCCCCCCCCCCAACAACAAATATAGCAGGGATGATGTCTAATTGACAGGCTGATGAGTTAGAAAAAAACAAAAGGTTAAGTACAGGTGAGAAGATTTTTGCAAATGATGCAAATTTATTGATTGTTATTTTTACAGAAACGCTCAAGAAACTGCTTGCATGTCTCTGTAACTATGTTACAAACAAACACCGCTCATGCCTCACAGATGACAGCTTACAGTCCTGGTAAAGATTAAAGTGACTTCATACAGCCCCGATTTGCAGACGCTGTGCGCATATGGGATATGCGCAGAGGTTCAGGAGTAGAAGTCCCATTGTAAACATATCAGGCAGACCCGATGATGTTTGCATGAACATGCTTTTCAGCATCTCTTTATTGACCACTTTTCACGCACAGCCGGCTGTAGCTTTTCAGCTCACAGCCCGACACATACCAACACAACAGCATAGATAGCACAGACGTTAAGGCGGCGAGGCGTGATTGGTTGCAGCTCAGGTGCGTCCGTCTCCCCTGCAGCGGCGCTGCAAACCACGCCGGGTTTATTTGGGTCTTAAACCCCTGCATTAACGTGTTTAACTGGGCCACAGCATCGCGATTTAGCTTGAAAAGACAACAAATTGTGTTTCTCGCCACTGAAATATGAGGTACCCAAACTCGTTACGTTTCACCGCCTACTGCAGCAGCCCTGGTTGAGATTTTTTTTTTTGGACTCAGAACAAGTTTTGATATTATTCTGCCAGTAAATAAAAAGGAAAATACAGACTGCATCTGTATACAGCTCCTGTCAGCACACTTCTTACGGCGTTTTTTATGAAGTGCGTCAGGTTACAACGTCTAAAGAAAAGTTACAATGAATTGGAGAAAAGCATACCTTTGAATAGAGGGATTTGTGTGTCCGATAAGCACCGATCTGTAGTATGTGTGTGAAGTTCAAGCTTATGCGTCTACAATACGCGCACGCAGTTCTACTCCGGTGACGTCAGAGGCTTTCTGCTGCATCCCTCCAATGAGATCATTTAGTGAGCGAGGCTTCACAGATGCCCTAACAGGAAATTAACTTATCAACTTTATCTTTACACATTAAAAGCTTTAACGATAGTAGTGAGTTTAAGAGTTCCAGTTCGGTTTCAGATATGTCTGTAATGGTATGTTTACGCATTATATTTTATGCTAAAGTGTAGCTTTTACATTTACAGCCTTTGCTCACGTTTACTTATTAGAACTTGTGTTTTGATAAACTTATTATTCTCTGATGTTTTGTGTTTGTTACATGTCTTTTTTATTGTAAAGCTTTAATGTGACTTGTCCTGTTAATAAAGAATGAAGGAATAAGCCGCATGGTAGTTCTTCAGTTATCAGTGTAATTTGATACTGTACTCCTGTATACCATTATTCATTTTCTTGAACTGAAGCTATAGATCTTTACTCAGAAGGACTGAGTTAAACCAAAGAACAAATTCTTAATCTTCCAAGCACCAATTTTAATTTTTAATTTTCAGTTCAAGGCACAAATGGAAATACAAATAAAATAGTTTGATTAAGTTCAAAAAGCATTTAGAACAATTGCAACAAAATAAAAATGAAACATGAACAATAAATATAACAGCGGAGACATCATTCAGTACAATTTAATTCAGTTTTGTTTATATAGCTCCAAATCACAACAGTAGTTGCCTCGTGCTGCCCTCACACCACGTAATAATGTGAAGCTTGACAGCCAGCAAACACAACAGAAGAGATCTCCACAAGGCTTGCTTTTCTTGACTTTGAAGAGCTTTTTAAACCCTTTCCTTTCTTAAGGCTTCTCCTCGTTTTTCTAACTGAAATGTACAAAAAAATTAAACATAAATTGCTTGCTAATATACACATCTTAATCACAAAGACGAACGTTTCCCAAGGCACAAGCGTGTAGGGCACATTAAGCGTGTACATTACTGTGCACATTAGTGTGCTTTCTCTCTTATTTCTGAGTGGAGGGAGCAGGACAAAAGACACGCTATGGAAGAGAGCCAGAGATTAATAATAACTAATGATTAAATGCAGAATGATGTATAAACACACAGTCAGTGAAAAACGTGAATGAAGAAGACACAACACTGAATCAAAAGGCATTTGGCATAACTAGCTCTTTGAGAAAACTCTCAGAGTCCCAGAGCTTCTTTCTTCACGCTGGAACCCAACAGGATATTTCCAGCGTCCACACACTCTGACTCACATGGTGCTAAGAACACAAAACACAAGGATTAAAGAATGAATTTGCAAGAATAGCTCACTTTAACTTTGTGTCATGGATATGCAGCATTCTCTGTTATTATCGTGTTACTACCATTCTGAGCACGGAGCCATGAGGCAGCCTTCATAGCCAGAAGCTCCCACTCGTCCTTTGCATCCATCTTGAAAGCATGAAGCCAGATCAGAGCCAGAACGGTGGCCCACACTTCATTGTTGCCCTAATTCCCCAATAAAAGACAAATAAAACAGGGAGCACAAACACACACACACACACACACACACACACACACACACCGAGCCTGAGAGCAATTGACTTTATTCAGTACAATAAACAAGCCATGCACACTTATTTTGTGTGTTTTGCCAGAGGCTTCTCTCTCCTGCAGTGTTATTGCTGTTATCCTGGGGTATTTCTGAAGGTATTTGATAGAGCATCATCTCCTGCAATACTCTGTTTAGACCAGATGTGTCTAATTTTACATCGTAGGCCACGTTCAGCCCACTTTGATCTTAAGTGGGTCGGACCACTGAAACTAAAGTTGTTACATATTTAACCGTTTTTCTACATAATGAAGAAAAACCTGCTGTAACATAGAAGGAAACCTGTCAGTACGACTCTTTGAACTTAAATTATAGTAAATAAATGTGTAAAATTCTCTAGACTGTCCAGTTTTTGTTAGTCACAAAAAAACCAAACAAATTTCTATAGATGAAAGTGAAAAATTAACTTCTCGGTCATTTAATTGTTTATTGCTTAATTACTTTGTGTAGTATGAATGACCATAAGGGAGATTTTAAATCAGAAGGAAAAGATGCAAAACTTATGAAAAGGTTTAAAAGTCCAAAATTGATGCTTGTGCTTGTTAGTGGTGAGCAGCAGTTTAAACAGGTTCAGAAATATAAATGGCTTCCAGTGTCATATTCAGGTCTGTGAGACTAATTTAGACACACAGACACTGAGCCATGGCTCTGGAGGAAATCCACACATTTCTGCATCTCTGTCATTTGAAGGCATTTTGTATATAGTTTATTTTAGGTAATATTCTACACTGAACTGTAATTTTAGTCTTTTTCAAGGAAGCAATTTTTCATTCAGTGACCCCTGTGGTACTTGGAATGAGAAGCCTGGGTCCCTTCAATTACAACCAACCCTGCCCCCATGAAACCCAGGGCTTTCCGGCTCTTATATGAACACCAGGCAATACATGGCACAGAGAACGGGCAACAACAGAAAGTAATGGAGTTAAAACAGCAACAGGCAGCCAGTTACATGTGAATGTAGGTACACCAAGACAAATTAATGCTTCTACACACATAATCTCAACAAACTACCTTTAGATAAAAGGGTTCTGATCTTAGTTTTTACAATTGTGATAACATAACTAATGTAACATAAGGCAAATACCTTCACGGACACCTCTTATGAGGGAAATACTTTTTGCCAGTTTTTACTACAGCTGACTTCATTTTCATCTTTTGGGTTATGTTATGTTTAATATTTGTAATTTCTTTCTATATTTTGTACCATAAAATTTGATTAACATGCATATCATCACTTTTTGTAATGACTGAAACTGACAAAAACCCACCTTTTCAGGCTTTGACTTTTTCACCTCCTTGCTGGTCTTTCCCAGTGCAGTAGCCAGAGCTGGATCAAGCAGCCAGCAGCCAGACGCCTCCTGGAGGGAGACTAACTGTAGCAAAGGGTCTCTGGATAGGTGCTCATGCACAGCAGCTGGGAGGGAAAAAAGTACAAAGATGAAATAATAACTGAACATCAAGTGTCCAGTCATGGCCTTTCTATCTAATTAAAAAAATAAATATTATACAGTAAATTTACAGTAAGGCACTTTTTGCTCCTTTTTTTGTGGTACCAAACTGCGCTCACTTCTTCCCATGTAAAGTTTTGCAGTGCAGTGTTATGGTAAGATGAGTCTGATGTGGCAACAACAATGAAGAATTTATTGGGTGCCCTGATATTCTGTAAAAGATGGAAACTAAAAGATTTATGTGTCTACTTTTAACCAACATTACCTTCGTAAACAAACATATGTGAAGCAGCATAATGCTTGGCAGGCATCTTATGAGAGTTCCAAAAGACAGGTAGTTTCTTCTTCATGTGAGGAAATAGCCCTTTTTTGCTGTGAGACTTTGTTGGTTCATAGCAATGAGCTGCTGAGAGATTAGAGAGACCGCAACTCAGTAAAGCTCAAGTCATTATTATAAAAAACACACACACACTACAGTCCAATTGGGTGATCTGGTAATTCATTACTTTCATATGACTAACACTGAGATTAAGTTCATTCCTTCCTGATAAATAGAAATCCGCATCCATCCAGTGCAGTGATGGTCATCTAAACAAAGTAAAGCTGCTCCAATTCCACTGGCTTCCACAGCCCTGACTAAACAAATGTGCAACAAATGCAATGGCATCTCTCTTAAATGTAGGACAATGAAAACTCTTCAACTGCTATATGTCAGGAACTGGTTCATATGTTTTTTGTTGCTTTAGACAGCAGCCTACCCAAATAGCAAGCAGGTCTGGCCCAGATCTGGTATCAAGCCGGCACTTCTGACTGACTGGTGTCATGGCAGCTATAAAAGAATTAGTCCATTCTCTGAACAGAGTTTCGTCATGTTACTTTTGCGCTATTATGTTCCGGCCCATGTTGTTATTACATGGCTTGATTAAAGTACACATAAGGCTGACATAAGGCACAGGACCACCAGTGTGCCTGCAACTGACCTTGTTCTGGCCCATGTGTGGGCCATCTCTGGCAAACCAGATCTGGACCACCAAAGGGCCGTCATTCTTTGCGGTATGTGGGCCATGTGTAAGCACATTGTGTGGGCCAGATCCAGGCCATACCAATTTTGCTAAATGGGTATGCTTATAATTACAAAACACAAAATATTAAAAAAAAAAAACCAAACAAAAGAAAACATTTTTCCTTACCTAATCCCTTGAATGCTGAGAACGCAAAAAAAGAAGAAAAAAGAAAGAAAGGTGAAAACACGTTAGTAAAACGAATTTTCAAACCTTTTGGCTGTTGTGCTTCATACATGACTCACCACAAACAATTGGCTGTATTGGTCTCCAATCAGCTTGCTAGCTACTGCATTCCAGAAACACTGTCCAAGATGTAGCCCAACCCATTTCAGTTAGTATGTTTAATTATTTTATTTTAAAAAATATTATTTTTTAAGACCATTGTTGGTTTTAGTCTAGTTTAAACCAAACCAGTCCACTGGATTTAGCTACATTTTGGACAGTGTTTTTTGGAATACAGTAGCTAGCGAGCCAACCAGAATTTTTGCATCCAAAACTGTGATTGGTTGGTTTTGTGGCACATTTACAACGGTGTACAGAAAGAGTTGAGCGTGCAGGAAGCAGAGGTGTTGAAAGCATGATCGTCACACTGAGAGCAGGACGGTAGATGTCTATGAGCACACAGACCAGATTTCTGAGCAGGAGAAAATGCCAACAACTGAGCGAGAGGGGCTGTTATTGTGTGTGTATATAGATATTAGCAAACACTGAAATACATTTAGCAGCAATGAATTTTGTTCGCTCAAATTAAGCTTTTCTTCATTCAAAATAATTTTCTCCTGAAAAAGCAACATTTGTACTTACAAAAATAATATACATACACTCAGAGCAGAGGCACAAAAATAATGCCATAGATTTTATAA